CCCATGTGGGTGGCAGGAATCCAAGTACTTGAGCTGTCATCTGCTGCCTTCCAGGATGCACGTCAGCAGGAAGCTGGATTAGAAGTAAAGTAGCAGGGACTCATACCAAGAACTCTTGACATGGAATGTTGGCATCCCAAATGGCAGATTAATCACTGCATCAAATGCCTTCTTTGGGATATTTTAGTTTTTTTAAAAAAATTATTTATGTTTTTGAAAGCTGAGTTACAGAGAAGCAGGGGCAGAGAGAGAGAGAGAGAGAGGTCTTCCATCCGCTGGTTCACTCCTCAAATGGCCACAATGGCCAGATTTGGGCTGATCTGAAGCCAGGAGCCTGGAGCTTCCTCCAGTTCTCCCACACAGGTGCAGGGGCCCAAGGACTTGGACCATCCTCCTCTGCATTCCTGGGCCATAGCAGAGAGCTTGGTCGGAAATAGTTAATTTTTGAAAAGGATATATTCATTTATTTAAAAGGCAGCACATCAGAGAGAAAGAGAAAAAGCAAGAGACAGAGAAAGAGAGAGTTCTTCCATCTTTTGGTTCACTCCTTAAATGGCTGCAACAACCAGGTCTGGGCCAAGCTCATGACAGAAGCCAGAAGCTCCACCTGGTCTTCTACATGGGTGGCAGGGACTCAACTACTTGGGCCATCTTCTGCTGCCTTCCCATGCACTTTAGCAGGGATCTGCATCTGAAGTGGACCAGCTGGGACTTGAACTGGCACTCTAATATAGGATACTGACTTTACAAGCAGTGGCTTGAACTGCTATGCTACAACACTGACCCCTTCCCTGGCATATTTTAAACAGAAGGGAAATTATACTAAAAAAGAACTTGGCATGTTGGAAATACATGCAGAAAAATACAATGGTATATGCCTGGGTAAATATTCTCTCTACTTGAGTTCTTTATGGTATTTTGGATGGCTGAAAGCAAAAATGTTAACATCATCTTTTAGTATTCTCAATGTGTATTTCAACAGATACAACATATACAACAACTATTCCATAAAGGCAGAGGGTAAAGGAATCTATATGTGATCTGATTCCTACCCTCCACTTAAAGTGGTAAAATGTAAATTCTATTTAGACTGTGAAAAGTATTAACATAAAATACTAAACCTTTAAAATACATACAAAAACATAGAATAAAAATAAAAAATAAAATGAAATATTAAGAAATGTTCAAATACCCTACAAAAACAGGAAAGAGGAAACAATGGATCAAAAGCAGAGAAACAAATGGAATATAAGTAATAAAGTGGTAGACCAAAGCACTGGTCTGAGCATATCAATAGATATATTAAGTACAAATGATCTAAACACACCAATTAGAAAAGACTGTCAGAAATTACAAAAATACCATAACTCAAGTATATGCTGGCTACAAGAAATTCACTTTAAATATAATTACTTATGTACATTATAAATAAAGACGAAAGGTATATATCAGATAGACACTAACAAGAAAGCTGAGATGGCTACATTAACATCAGACAGAGCAGACTTTAGAACAATGAAAATGACTAGGAATAAAGAGAAACATTGCACAACTATAAGTGTTAATTCACCAACTAGATGTAAATTTTAAACTATGTGCATCTAACATCAAAGCTTCAAAATACATAGAGTAAAAACTGACAAACTGAAATAAGAAACAGATAAACTCCTAACTGCAGTTGCCAACTCCAACACTTCTCTCTCAGTATTTAGAAGAACTAATAGACAAAAGTCAACAAAGACATAGAAAGATTAATCAAAACATTAACCAACCAGAAGAAAAGAAATTCCCAGAGTGGTTGAATAAGTTATAATAAATAATATTCACAGCCAGGACTGCCACCATACTAGACAACTCCAGGGGTCCTTGCACATAAACTTTGAATTGTGTGGTATATAACCTGCAGAGGAGTTCATAGTGGTCCTGCCTATACTACAGAATGTTATGTATCCCTTAGACAGAATATATTAGTTTACTTGAGGAGGTTTCACTATTTTTGAAGGAGAAATGCAGTATATGTAAGTTTTTGTAAAACAAACAGGAGCAGATGCAAATATGAGTACTGTGTGTTTTTGTGTGAATATTTGAGAATGGCAGTTAAGCGGAAGGATACACAGCTGGTTGGTAAGGGGTGGGAGAAACCAATAATGTGGATGGAAGAGAACAGTGGGTCAGGGATCCAAGCCAGAATGGAAAATTAAAATCAGTATTTAAAAAAAAACAGGATTATATTTATGGATTCATAAAATAATGAGTATCTGTAAAAATGGTTTTTAAAATAATCTCAAATATAAAAAGGAAAAATATTTCTTTCAGTCACTTAAAACCTTCCAATTATTTCTTTTTATCTAAGAAAAAAAAAGATTTATTTTGAAAGTCAGAGTTACAGAGGGGAGAGACAGAGAGAGAAAGATTTTTCATCCATTGGTTTACTCCCCAGGATGCCCCAGCAGCCAGCGCTGGGCCAGGCTAAAGCCAGGAGCCAGGAGCTCCATTTGGGTCTCCCATATGGGTGCAAACATTTAGGGCATCTTCTGCTGTTTTCCCAGGCTCTTAGTAGGGAGCTGAATCAGAAGTAGGGCAGGCTGGACATGATCCAGTGCCCAGATGGGACATTGGTGTTACAAGTGGCAGTGTTACTCACTATGCCACAATGCCAGCCCTAATGATTTCCTACTACACTTGAAAATAATCAAAGCTGTCAGTGATCTCTGTCATCCGGTCCTTATGTGGCCTTGTGTGCTACTACTGGTCCCTCCCCCAGGCAAGTACCATCCCCATCCTAGCCTGAAGGCTTTCATGTGGTTTTTTTCTCTGTCTCGAATTGTTTTGCCACAGGTCTGTACATGACTGACTTCCTCTCCTCTGAGGTACACTTTGTGATTTGCCTGTCCAACAGCTACCCTCCCCCTTTTCTCATCAATAAAATGCTAATTTTAGTTGGGAGAGCAGTATGTCCACTTGAAATATTTGATCTCTCAGTCTCCCTCGTGACTAGGAGTAATACAGTTCTGGGCAATGGAATACAAGAAGTCAGTGGGCAAGCACTCCTGGGAAGCTTTTCTAAAGCAGTGAAAACAACGGGCATTCTCTGCCCCCACCTTTCCCTCTCCCTTTTCTGGCCATGAAGATGGCTGTGAAGCTACGGGCAAAGTTCTCAGCACGTGCCCAGCACTCAGCAGTCTCAGCCTTGCCAGAGAACTTAAACATGCAAATATCAGCCCCAACCCAGACACTGAATCAGAAACTCTTGGGGCGGGGGCCCACTGATTTGTGGTTTAGCAACCCCTTCAGGTGATTCTTTTACTTGCTGAAATTTGAAAGCCACTGAGCTAGATAGCAGCCTCCTTAGAGATGGCCAAGAAACTGGATGAAGACTAGTACGCTTAGGACCCCAGGAAGCAACTGCATGAGATTTGGACTGCCTCCTCTGGACATGCAGTTATGTGAAAGGGGACTCACTGTTAATTTAAGCTACTGTGATCAAGTTTTTGTTACATGCAACTAAATACAATTCTAGTTGGTAAATCATACTTTAAATCTCAGCTTAAACGTTCTACCTGACTTCTGACTTCACTGACTGTTCCGCTTCCACCTTCCATCCCAATCCCCATCAAAGTCCTTCCTTATCATCCTTCAAATTTCTCACTCACTATTTGCTATGATCTGTCTCCTCTAAGAATATAAACTTCACATTGGTAGGATGGTAGGATCTTGCCTTTTTACTGCTGTACTACAGCACATACTGAAGTGTCGGGTACATATTGGATACTATGTGGTTATTTGTGGAATGGCTTAAAAATTTTACAAATTCCATTTAAAATCATGTCTCTTAAAAACATTTGAGTGAGAAAAATAATTTATCAAGGATAACTTTGAAATGTTCAGGGAAAAATTTAGTTGAGAAATAACTCATATGTATGTTTAAAAAAATGCATATACTACAGAAACATCTTCCATGCTTGCCTGTGAGACTTCTGCCTTACTTTTCAGTGGCTTATGAAATTTAAAACTATGAACTACTAAATAGTTGTTAATGTAAACCTGAACTAGTGCAAACCTGAAAACTCCACAGAAATGAACTGCATGGATTCAGAATTTCTTTCCATAAGCAACCTCATCTTTCCAAAGCTACCATTTTGTGCTATCTCAGTCACAGTGAGAGGCTTATTTAATAACAACACTTCATATGAAATGTAAACAGAAGCATTCAAATAAAAACAAAAATTGTGATAGTTTTCTTACCTATGCCAGAAGATGCACACAATTAGATTTTAACCTTGGAGGAAAAAAACATTATTTTACCCACATCCCTGCTTTGCCTCTCCTAGTAATCCCAAGCTTACTCCAAGACTAACATCACTGCAAATCAATGTGATCTTCTATGGCACCAACCCACGCAGAGGCCTCGGGGAAGGGACATAGGTTGTGAGCTCCCTGTGCATGAATTTAGGGTTGCTGCTCTTTGCTTGTGGAAGTCAACTAAGGAACCCCAGTGTTCCTGTAATGTGCGCTCTCTCTTCTCTTTCTCTTTCTCTCAGACCAAACTGCCCTGATTAACCTTTGCACATCCATATCCTTGGATTACTTTTAAATGAAAGGTTGTTATGTGACATTGCAGTAAACTGTATAAATGCTTTCTCAATGAAGCAGAGAACAAACAAATAGAAAATGAGATGCTTCCTCCTTGGATCCCTCCCCATTCTTTTCTAGGGGGCTCCTAGAATCCAGATAGGCCTTCCTGAAGCCATGACTGGGAGAGGAAAGCAGTAGATAAGCAGAGTGGGAGCCTACTCACTCAGGAAAGGAGGAAATCTGAGATTTGCTGAGGCCATTCCCTGCCTTCCTCACAGAACTAGGAGGGATTAGATATGATAGTTTCCTGGGCATCCTTTCCAGATCCTTAGAGATGTAAAGATTTCATGTTAGTGGCATCCCAAGTACAAACTATGAGAAGCCTCCAGAAGCCAGACTCAGTCCTAAGCCCTCAGCCCAACATTGTGCAATTCTTACTTTATTCTTTACCAGTGAAATAACTTTTTATTTTATGTGAGGCAATGATCTTAGGTTTCCATTTAAGTAATTTCTACCTGGAATTGAATCAGAGTAAGTATCAAATGTACTAACCTTATTTTGGAAATGACAACATTCGGTAAGGCTGGGTTTTCACTTTTAACAATGTATCACAATTTCCTGGGGAGCCGTGTTAAAGTCTCTAGTGCTCCTCTCAGAAGTTTCTATTCATTAGGTTATGAGTGAGAAATAGGAATCAGAAATTCTAGCAAGGCTTCCCAGATGATTCTGAGGCAGCTGGTGTGAGGTCCACAATTTAATTATATTAGCCTTATAGAAGAAACCAGAATTTCTTCTTTCCTGGATCAAGACTGTGATCCAAGACAGCCAGAGGTCCTTCTTGAAGAGGTCTCCAAAGGATATCACCTGTCCTCAGAGGGATGAGTCTCCATAGTGCCCAATTCTATAAGTGAATTAAAAATTGGGCTCAGCACTTGGCTAGACTTGAGGATATGCAGAAAAATTCCCAAGTTCCAGAAAAGTTTGTTTGCTTCTGGTCTAGGGACCCATAGTACAATCTTTTCCTTTTCATTGATGTCGGGATAAGGAAGCCAGATAGACCCACACAGATAAAATGTTGTTTGGGAATGGGTGGATATATACAGCTAAAGCAAATTCTGTCTGGGGAAATTCGGATGAATGAATTCCAGTTTGATAGACGGCATCAATAACCGACTGCACATCAGTGTATGGCATCTGGATGGGAAATCCTGTGATCTGCATTAAAGACAGAACAACACACAAACTCCTATCACAATCGTGGAGGGCATTTGGAGTTACTGCATGCAAAAAGATCGCAGCAGCCTCCAAGAAATGGCAGTCATACACTAGTAACAGCTGCTTGTGGGTGCTGATGATACTTTGGGTATCATGCTAAATACTTCACATACATATTTAATCCTTAAGCAATTCTATGTGATAGGTTCTATTATAGCCCCACTGTGCAGACAGAGATGAGCACAATCATGTCTGTCTGATACCAGAGCTTTCACATTTCACATATCTGCATCCTTTCTGGGTAGCAAACTGCCAAAAAGGAGATTACTTAGTCTTACATATGAGAAATTTGAGTGAGAATTTTGGAAGAATTTATTTGACATTGATTCAGTTCATATTTGTTAGGTGACTACTATGTGACAGGATTAAAGAACTGTAGATCATATATATTAAAATTTTCTATTGTGTAATACACTGATGATAATCATAAGCCTCTTTCAAGACTTAGATTGCTTATCCCAGGAGGATTTTTCCTATCCTCAAATCTGTTCACATGCTCTTCCCATGTAGTTGAGTAACACACTGTCCTTCTCCAGTTAATTAATAAAATTTATTGCAATTGCCCATTTTCTGGTCTATACATAGCCTGTAATTTCTCTGAATGCACAAGATCATATCTTGTTTAATTGCATAACACCAGTGCCTAGCATAATGCCTGACACATAGACTAAGAATTATAGCATTTCCTGAACACTCCAGGTGCTTGCCACAATTTGAGTGTTAGTTCACTTAATACTCTCTCTCAATTACAAAATATATAACTAATTTATCACCATTATACAATGGGATAAAAGGGTTAGAGAGGCTAGGTAACTTGCCCTAAATCAAAATTCATGAGCGGTGAGACCAGAATTTGAACACAAGGCTTCTGGGTTCAGTCTAGGTTTATTATTGCACACTCTGTATTATTAGGTAATTTTATAATGGAGTGCCAAGATCTGAACCTTAGCTATATTTAATTACATTTTCATGTTTATACTCCTAATTCTATTTAAAAAAAGCAAAATGAAAACAATTTCCTCCCCGTTCATGGGTGAATAGTGCCTGCAGATCTCTCCCTGGAAGCCTAAGTACTCAACTCTCAAGATATTCCTTATTTCCTTCCCTCATGGAGTTCTCTTAGAACTCCTAGTCTACTAGAATCTTCTAGTCTACTGGGTGGTAGGGAGAAGGAGTCTCAATCTTGGGAAGTTGGGATTTACAAAAACCTACTGGACCAGGTCATAAGACAGAAAAGGTGAAAGGATTTTCAGAGCATGAAGTAGAGTAGGATTAAGGAAAGGAGGATTCCAGTCAATACACCAAATGCCCATTATGTTACCTATGGACTTTAGTTTGAGATGTCATTTTACCATCTAAGAAGCTGTCAATGGGCTGGTGAATATACAAGAGGGGAAGTCATAGAGAGATCCATGCTGAATGTATAAAACTGAAAATAATTTGCACACAGAAGATACTGAAGCTTGTCTGGAGTCCTCTGGACCAGAACCAATGGCAACTGCCATTGGTTACTAGGGACCACTTTTTGATTTTTTTTTTTCTACAAAGTGGTTTCCTTTGGCATGTGTTTGTCCAAAACTGATACTTCATACAACATGAAGCATACAATAAGTTCCAAGAAAATTCTATACCATGTTGTCCAGGTAATCACTGTTCATTCCCATTGAAATGTTTTGGTTTGTAACCAAATGCACATTAAAGCCATAGAATCTAGGATCAAGACAGAAAATATTTCAGAGACAGTTAAGATTACTGTTATTTGGAAGTTGGTAACACAGTTAACACAAATGTCATTAGCACATTAAGTCTTATACAAACCCAATAAAACTGTAGCAGTCTTTCAAAATCACTGTCTTCTTCAGGTGAAACAAAGCTTCCTGTGCCAAATTCCAGCTTAGGAAGGATTTGTCGTAAAATAGAAGTACATTGTCGATTCCAACGTGTTGGGTGTTTGGGTCTCCATTCCATCATTTTGCCCTTTAGAGTCCTTTCAATCCTAAGGTAAGAATACAAAAATTACTTATGAAAAATTATAACTAATTTAGTATGTGAGATATGAGTTGCTTTTATTCAAGTATAAGAATGATTTTTTGAACATGGGAGGAAACCAGACTTTTTTTTTCAAGATTTATTTATTAATTTGAAAGTCAGAGTTACACAGAGATTGGAGAGTTAGAGAGAGAGAGAGAGAGAGAGAGAGAGAGAGAGGTCTTCCATCCACTGGTTCACTCCCCAAATATCTGCAATGGCCAGAGCTACACTGATCTGAAGCCAGGAGCCAGGAGCTTCTTCCAGGTCTCCCATGTGGGTACAAGGGGCCCAAGAACTTGGGCCATCTTCTGCTGCTTTTCCAGGCTATAGCAGAGAGCTGGATCAGAAGTAGAGCAGCTGGGACTTGAACTGGTGCTCATGTGGGATGCCAGCACTGCAAGTGGCAGTTTTACCTGCTACGCCACAGCGCAGGCTCCAAAACTAGACTTCTTTAGCTAAGGGTGTCTGCCACCATTCACACTGATCTAGTTAGGGTGAAGCAGGTTCCTGATTGGCTTGGGAAGACAAGAAGCTTTCCAGGGTAGACAGCATCAGCTCTTCAACACACATTATCTTCTAGTTACCTGGTGTCTTCACTATGACTTGACAACACTGGGCTGACATTCCCACAACTCATAACCCTTTTCTGACATAGGACATGGTGTTTCCAAGAAATTGTCTTTACAAAAATTCAGATATGTGATCTGGGATGATGTTGGCAGGGAAAGGATTATGAGATCAGCTAACTTAGCAAGCAGAGCTGGAAGAAAACAAGGCACTGGACTAATTAGTATGGTGATAAGCTTCTCTCTGCTAGAATTTAAGCTCCATAGGGGCAGGAATTTTTGCTGTATACCCAGCCCCTAGAACAGTGCCTGGTGATGAATCGTGCTGGGGAGGGGGAGTAGGTGGGGCACATGGTGGGTAGGTTCCTTCTGAGAAACTTCCCCTCTGTGCAGGATGATTGTGTGAGATTGTTTCTCCAACCACAGTGTTTGTTTACAGGAGAGGCTACTTACTAGTCTCCTCTTGGCTGAATTTATAGTAAGCTAAATAATTTGGAATTTGCAGAGCGTTTCAATAGTGGCCATGCATCAGAATCACTTGTGAGCTTTACCAAAATGTTTCACCTCCAGATACAGATCTGGACTGGGATCTTGGAACCTGCATTTTTAAATAGTTCTGGAAGCAATTCTGACTAAAACCAGAAGTCAGGAACGATTTCTCTAGGGCACTTTTCTTATTTTTTTTTTTATTTTTTATTTTTTTGACAGGCAGAGTGGACAGTGAGAGAGAGAGACAGAGAGAAAGGTCTTCCTTTGCCGTTGGTTCACCCTCCAATGGCCGCCGCGGCCGGCGCGCTGCGGCCGGCTCACCGCGCTGATCCGATGGCAGGAGCCAGGAGCCAGGTGCTTTTCCTGGTCTCCCATGGGGTGCAGGGCCCAAGCACCTGGGCCATCCTCCACTGCACTCCCTGGCCACAGCAGAGGGCTGGCCTGGAAGAGGGGCAACCGGGACAGAATCCGGCGCCCCGACCGGGACTAGAACCCGGTGTGCCGGCGCCGCAAGGCGGAGGATTAGCCTAGTGAGCCGCGGCGCCGGCCTGTCTAGGGCACTTTTCTTTATTGTTAAGAACTGGTCAATGAGGAGTGGGAATGACAGGGAGGTAGGGTGGGGTTGTGTACTAGTGAGGAAAGGGAACGGCATACTGATTTCTGTCAAGCTCTGCTTTGATGAGTTGAAAGTGGCTTATGTGTTACGTGAGTGGGAGTCACTGGAGGCAATCAGATCTAGAAGCCTCTGACACACCTGGAGTAGAAGTCCGTGACCCTCTGGGCTTACCTGAACAACTCCTTTAAGGCAACTGTGTGTAACAGTGTGTTTGGGTAAGTGGGAGTGCCCTGGAGTGACAGAATGTTTCTACCACCAAACTGGGATGTTTTTACCATTACCTGAGCTGTGAGCCATTTACCTTCAGGTCCTTTCAAGAAGTACTAGCTACCTCATTTTTATTAGTGTAGGTTAAACAGGCATCTGTGTTGAGAACAGATGACAGCCCACTATGTTTTCCAGAGTAAACGTATACCATCCTTTCAAAGAATGCCCTGGATGGTAAAAGGGCCACTTTTCAATGCATGTAGCAAAAGATAGGTGGTTTAATGGAACTGTTATAATATCTTCTGTCATGCTCCTGGTATAGAATCTAAGTTATTTTGAAAAGCTGAGTTGGAAGACTGAAAGGTGATTGAATAAGGAATTAAGAAGAAAAGACTGTTACCTGTTCTTTAGGTCTTCTACCATGCTTTCATTTGTATCAGAATAAATTATTTCTTCAGGCTGAAATACAAACAAAAGTTCAGAAAGATTCTATAAAGACCAACCTTATATCACACTCACCCCCAGAGTGCTACTATAGTGAGGGGAAACCCAAATCACTATCTCATGACAAAAACAATTATATAGGTAAAATATAGCTCATAGTGTTCTTTTGAATTTGATTCTGCTTCACCAGAGCCTGGTGGTGGGGATGAGGGTGATGGATTTACAAAACAAAATTTTCTCATAGGTAAGAATTGCTATTCCATTCATTATTCAAATAAGGTTTTTCATTGCTTGTGGGTTCTACCAAATAATCTTCAGAGACCACAAGTGGTCTCTTCCACTTATCAACTTTGGCCTTGGCAAAGTTACTTAACCCCTCTGTTCTGAGGCTCCGTTATCATCTTCAAAATATGGAGGATAATAGTACCTACTGCCCTAGTATCTTGTGAAGATTTTAAAATAAGGAAATAGATGTAAAGCCTGTCAACATGGACTCTCAATAAACATCAGATTTTATAGTTATTATTGCTCTTCTAACATGATTTGCTCTTTTTTTTTTTTTTTGATTAGCTGTTCTCAGTACTGGCTGGGGCTGGCTCATTGTGTTTGCAGGGCTCACATGAACAAGAGTGAGGGGCTGGGTTTACAGTTTTTACTTGGGTTTCCTAAACTGAGGACCAGATAATAACCCCTTCATGAGTAGAACGAGGGTTGTGCAAAAATAAGGCGACACTAGATAGGTCTCTAGGTTCCCAGTGTGTGGCCTATATATCAGCATCTTCAGACCTGGGAACTTGTTAGAACTATACATTGTTGGCCCTCACCTCAGACCCACTGAATCAGAAACTAGGGGGTGAGGCCCTGCAAGCCAAGTCTTTTTTTTTTTTCAAAGATTTTTATTTATTTATTTGACAGGTAGAACTACAGACAGTGAGAGACAGAGACAGAGAGAAAGGTCTTCCCTCTGTTGGTCCACTTCCCTCTGTTGCCGCAAATGGGCGCAACAGATGGAGCTACGTCAATCCGAAGCCAGGAGCCAGGTGCCTCCTCTCCGTCTCCCACTTGGGCGCAGGGGTCCAAGCACCTGGGCCATCCTCCACTGCTTTCCCAGGCCACAGCGGAGAGCTGGACTGGAAGAGGAACAACTGGGACAAAAACCGTCGCCCACATGGGATGCTGGCGCCGCAGGCAGGGGATTAACCCAGTGTGCCACTGCGCAGGCCCCATGCAAGCCAAGTCTTAACAAGTCCTCCAGGTGTTTCTGATGCCTGCCATTGTTGAAGAACCACTAGCAGAGAGCCCGATTGGAAGAGGAGCAGCTGGGACTAGAACTGGTGCCCATATGGGATGCTGGCACTTCAGGCCAAGGCTTTTAACCTGCTGTACCACAGCAAAGGCCCCTCTTTTTTTCTTTTTCTTTTTTTTTTTTTAAGGATTTTATTTATTTATTTATTTATTTATTTGAAAGTCAGAGCTACACAGAGAGAGGAGAGGCAGAGAGAGAGAGAGAGAAAGTCTTCTATTTGCTGGTTCACTCTCCAGATGGCCACAATGGCCGGAGCTGTGCTGATCCGAAGCCAGGAGCCAGGAGTTTCTTCCTGGTCTCCCACATGAGTGCAGGGGCCCAAGGACTTGGGCCATCCTTCACTGCTTTCCCAGGCCACAGCAGAAAGCTGGATTGAAAGTGGAGCAGCCGGGTCTCAAACAGGTGCCCATATGGGATGCCGGCGCTTCAGGCCAGGGCGTTAACCCGCTGTGCCACAGTGCCGGTCCTATCCCCTCTTTTTTTTCTTTAAGATATATTTGAAAGAGAGAGTTACAGAGAGAGGTCTTCCATTCACTGGTTCATCCACAATGGCCTGAGATGAGCTGATGCTAAGGCCATGAATTTCTTCTAGGTCTCCTTCTTGGGTGCAGGGTGCAGGGGCCCAAGGACTTGAGCCAGCCTCTGCTTCTTTCCCAGGCACATTATCAGGGAGCTGGATCAGAAGTGGAGTAGCCTGGACTCGAACTGGCGCCCATGTGGGATGCCAGCACTACAGGCCATGGCTTTAACCTGCTGCACCACAGCTCCAGCCCAACAGAACATTTTTATATTAACTCATGTTGACATGCATAGCTCTGGTTAGTGGTTCTCAACTTTGGCTGCATATTGAAATCATCTTGGGAACTTCAAAAACTATTGCTGTGTAGGTTCTACCCTCAGAGATTCTGATCAAATGTAGGTACAAATTGAGAACCACTATAAATTGATTCATACAATGCTTAAGTATTTCACAATTCATGTACTGATTTTCTATACTGAGCACTACTGCACTTATGTCCCTGTGCATGTTCTTCTAGGGTATACACTTAGAAGTTTGAATTGGTAGATCAAAGACTAAACATCTTCAGCTTTACCGGATCTCTCAAATTGCTTTCCACGGTGCTCCCATCATTTCTCTTTGTCAAGACTTGGTAATATCATGTTTTCTTTTCCCACTAATTTTATGCTTGTAAAATAGTGTTTTATTGTTTTAAATTATATTTCCAGGCCAGCCCTGTGACTTAGTGGGTAAAGCCACCACCTACAGTGTCAACATTCCATATGGGCAATGGTTAGAGTACTGGCTGCTCCACTTCTGATCCAGCTCCCTGCTGGGAAAACAGCGAAAGATGTCTCAAATCACTGGGCCCAAGCACCCAATTGGAAGACCCAAAGAAAGCTCCTGGCTCCTGACTTCAGATTGGCCCAGCTCCAGCTGTTGTGGCCAATTGGGGATTGAATCAGTGGATGGAAGATCTCTCTGTTTCCTTCTCCCTCTCTTTCTCTTTAACTCTGCCTTCCAAATAAATAAAATAAATCCTTAAGAAATTGTATTTCCTTGATTATAAGTGAGGCTGAGAATCTGAATTTCTGTGAATTGTTTTTGGCTATTTTTCAGTTGTTCTTTTTCTTTCTCTCTCTCTCTCTGTCTCCCTATGGGCTCATAGCGTCTAGTTTGTGGACTCTGCAATTACCTGTATTGCGCTACACCATGGTCTACAATTCAGTTTTTTTTTTTTTTTTAATTTTATTTATTTATTTGAGAGGTAGAGTTACAAACGGAGAGGAAGAGAGAGAGAGAAAGGTCTTCCATCTGCTGGTTCACTCCCCAGATGGCCACAATGGCTTTACCCGCTATACCACAGCGCCAGCCCCTGAAGCAGTTTTTGACAAAGTGTTGGGAGTGTCTTGCCAAAGTGATGCGAAATTACTAACAGGTCCACTGGTCAAGCCACCTAATGACCGGGTCAATTCCTGATCTCTTGCCTCCTGAGCCCTAGAGAGTGAGTATATAATTTTCTCTCCATTTTCCTCAAAAAGTTGGGGATTTGGGTAGCCCCATGACAGTCCCTGGCTTCAAAAAGTGATGCCTGGGCTGGATCACTGGCTTTCTCAAAGCATTTTCAAACCAGCTGCTATCCCTGCTTCAGACCACTCAACTGCTAGTGTTTCTGTCCTGTTTCTGTTCCATGAGTTATCTATCATGGTTTGGAGCTCAGGAAAGCCCTTTGTTTGCAAATTTCTCCATTTGATCATCATCATGGAGGAGGAGCAGAAGGGCTAGATCAAAGTAAAAACTTATTACACCATTTTGAACATTAAATGCTCTGTTTTCATGATTAAAAAAACTAAATTCTATTCTACAATCTGAGTTTATATTTGGGATGATACCCTCTTCTTTATTTCTTTTCCTGCATGGAAAAGAAAGGGCCTAAAATTATCTAAATACAGGTTGGATGGTAGAGAAAATTAGTTTTTTATTAATATTGCCAAATAATTCAATAAGCAGTCAACTACAAGACATAATAAGAACTATCACAACAAGTGAAGATCAGAGGCCATGGACACTCTCATAAATACACATCTGCAAAAATACAGTGATTTACCTGTATGCTTTGTGGTTTTGTCCCTTGAAAATTTTTTGGAATTAACTGTTTCCAGAAACTTTCTTTTGAATAGTCAAAATGTACAGCCATGGGTGTATTATTTTGCTGAATATTAAACCATACCTATTAAAAAAATAACAAAAAGTCAGTGTAGGCTCATGGAAACACAAGACCAGAGTTGGTAAGCATGGAGTAAAATTTTACAGTCCTACTACTTAATGCTTTGTAAGGGAGGTTCTGTGGCAAGAAATCCTGAGAGTCCAGGGTTTTGTGATCATAGGACTACTTTATCAGTTCTCAACCCTGGAGGCGCTAGAGTCACCTTGGGAAGGTTCAGAGCTAGAAGTCTGCCCAGATTCTATACCCCAGGGATTCTGATTCAATATCCATATCGTCTTCAAAGTCCCCTAAGTGATTCTAATGTCTGTCTAGCTTGGTTCTTGAGTTGGTTACTTAAAATAGGATTTCCCCACATACTTACATTTTTATCATCAAACAAACAATCTACACTTTGTAAGGGACAAAATGGGTCAAACTGCTTATGGCATTGTCCAGTTGATGGATTCCAAAGCAAATATTCATCACTTTCTTGAGTTAGTACATAAGCCACATGGCCCTGTTCAAGGAAAAAGAGGTAATGTCATTTTTGGTGGATTTAACTAACTTCTGTATGCAGAAATTATAATGCAATGATTCTTATTTCTAAAAGTCTTTCTTTTTTTGAAAAGGGAGAAAATACCCAAACCCCAGAAATGACAGAACTAGGTTAGCACAAGGACACAGGCAAGAGAATCTGTGTGCCACTGCTGCCACATATGGGCCTGTGGGATCTATCCTGATGGCAATAAAGTATGCTGTCGTAACAGAATCAGGAAATGGTGATGATGTTCCAAAAGACAGTAGTAAAGTGTCTGATTCACACAAAGTTGTGCTAGGGAAGCTCTGCTTTTGTAAGAATATAGTTGGAGACTAAGAGTGAATGCCAGGCAGTTAAGGATGAAAACAGGCTTATGGCTCTGATAAAAACATTAAAGAAGTTAAAAAGTTGTTAAATTAAAATTAAGAACAAGATTTGAAATTAGAGGTTAATAAGTAAGTATACAGGGGGGCTGGCACTGTGGCATAGCGGGTAAAGCTGCTGCCTGCAGTGCCGGCATCCCATATGGGTGCCAGTTCGAGTCCTGGCTGCTCCACTTTCAATCCAGCTCTCTGCTATGGCCTGGGAAAGCAGTGGAAGATGGCTCAACTCCTTGAGCCCTGCACCTGCCTGGGAGACCTGAAAGAAACTCCCAGCTCTTGGTTTCAGATCAGCATAGCTTCAGCCATTGCAATGATTTGGGGAGTGAACCAGTGGATGAAAGATCTCTCTCTCTCTCTCTGCCTCTGGCTCTCTGTAACTCTGCCTTTCAAATAAATAAATAAACCTTAAAAATAAAAAATAAAGTATATAGGAAACCAATCTGAGGAATAAAAATTGGTTATTATGTTGTCATTATTTTGCTCTTCACATACCTGTTGTAGTGTAAGCCTTTCTTAGCAAAGAATAAAAGTTTCAGGTGATAATAATAAGACTATTTAACATTTATGGAATATTTATGCATACCAGGTTCTGTGCTAAGAATTGACACTCATTTTCTGACTCTAATTCACTCATGATTCTGTGGAGTAGGAATGATTACTGTGTTCATCTTTTAGACGAAGAATCAGAGGTTGAGGACCTAGTTCAGGGCAACAGGCAAGGGTTTATTCCTGTTGTGTGAAGAGATGAGGCTCAGAGAAATAAACAAGGCTGACATCATACAGTTAGTAAGTGGCATTTCTGGGTCTGACTGTACCACAAACACATAATCATTTTCTTTTTTTTTTAAAGTTGGGTTTCAGATTAATATGTAATCATTTTACATATGTATGGGATGCAATGTGATATTTCTAAACATGTATACAGTGTGTACAGATAAAATCAGAGTAGGCAGTATTTCTATCTCCTAGATATTTCTTTGTTTGGGCCCTTTGAGCTCCTCTCCATAAAATATTATTATTGTGAACAGTAGTCACACCAACAGACCCATAATGTGAACTTACAGTCATCCCATCAGACCCATATTCTTAATATTATGCTGGGGAGCCAGGTCTTCCTAACTCCAAAGCCCTTACTGTGCTCATCTGCATAGTAAAGGAGAGGCTTCGTCTCAGCCACACAGCTGCAGTGAATCTGCAGGGCTGCCCCTGTGGAGTTGGTTCACAGGTACAAGTACAAATACTGTTTGCTCAAATACTGTTGACTGTGTACTGCCATCTAGTGGCATCTAAAACTATAGCAGATGATCACATGGGAGAATAAATCCAGGCTTTTGGTTAACAAACAACACAGAAACAATAAGCTAAGCCAGGAGATTATAGGGAAATAAACGGCCATAATACAAACAATAATGAAAGATTGGCAATGTTAACACTTAGCAAGATACACAGGTGTAGCTAAAAATAGTCCAAAAAAGATAGCTTTCTGGCAGTATGAATGCAGAAGCATCTAATGTAAGTTACCAATATTTCAGATAATAAGCATGGATTTCTGGCCCACTTCTTTTAAGATTAAAACCTAGGCAATTGAGCATGAGAAGAAGTATTTCTTAGAGATCTTAAAATACAGGATTGGAAACATGGGATGCTGCTGATGGTTATTTTGGATAACAGGCACTACAACTACACTGCTGCATTGCCACTATCACCATGTACTGAGCGTTTGTTATGAAGAGATGCTGCTCCCAATGCCTTTAATATATTCACATATTCCCAGTAACTTCATCAAGTGGCACTACTTTAGTACTATTGTCTAAAAGAGAATAACAAAAGAAAGTTATTCTCTGCACGGAACATTTTGAACTAGTAGTATCCTCTTAGCTGGTAACTTTTTAAAATTTATTATTTATTTATTTTTTTGACAGGCAGAGTGAACAGTGAGAGAGACAGAGAGAAAGGTCTTCCTTTTCTGTCGGTTCACCCCCCAATGGCTGCTGCGGCCGGCACGCTGTGGCCAGCACACCACGCTGATCCGAAGCCAGGAGCCAGGTGCTTCTCCTGGTCTCCCATGTGGGTGCAGGACCCAAGGACTTGGGCCATCCTCCACTGCACTCCCGGGCCATAGCAAAGAGCTGGACTAGAAGAGGAGCAACCGAGAGAGAATCTGGCGCCCTGACTGGGACTAGCACCCAGGGTGCCGGAGCCACAGGTGGAGGATTACCCTATTGAGCCATGGCACCGGCCAGCTGGTAACTTTTTGCCTCTGAAATTTCCTAATTAGCATATGACAAGATGAAAACTTTGGCTTGAAGTCTTTTAAATCAGCAGATGAAATCTGATGTAGTTTTGCTTAAGCTATCAATATAAACTCTAGAAATTACCTCCAACATTGAGCTTCCCAGGAGGACCAACGCACTCTTTCCAAAATACAGAAAAAAATTACACAGAAGTATGGCATGCTCCTCCTTATTTCCAATAGCCAGGCTGATGCAGCGCTAAGGCAAAACAAAAACAACAGCAGAAAAAAGGAATGGAAAGTCAAGTAATGCAAACGTCCAGTAGATTTAGTGCCCCTCTTCCCTCTTCCGTCCCAAGCATACTTATTTTTATGAGGTTCCTAAGGTGGCAGCAAAGCAGAAATCCCTGTCTTTGCTAGGGTATTACAGAAAGAGAATACTGACTGGGAACACTGGTATCATCTTTATTATGGGTAGATATTGAATACAGTGATCAGATAATTTGAATTCAAAGTGGGACATTATTTTGCTTGTTAAGGACAAAACTAAACTGCCCTGGGTAAGCAGGAATATATGGACTGATATTTTGAGGAAATTTATCTGATAGAGAATCACACAGGTTTCTGGAGGAAGTGATCCTTTAGGCAATGGAGTATTTATGTCCTGTACCAATATAGTCCCTCAACTCAAAGAAAGGAAGAGATCAGACGTAGAGCACAATCAGGAAGAGTGATTAAAACTTGGCAGAGTGGCATTCCATACCGGCTCTGGTTTGAGTTCCAGTTGCCCTACTTCCAATCCAGCTCCCTGCTAATGTGCCCGGGAAAGCAGCAAAGGATGGCCCAAGTCCTTGGGTCCCTACACCCATGGGAGAGACCTGGAAGAAGCTCCTGGCTCCTGGCTTCGGAATGGCCTAGATCCGGCCACTGCAGCCACGTGGGGAGTAAACCAGTGGATGGAAGATCTGTCTCTCCTTTTCTCTCTCTGTGTAACTCCACCTTTCAAATAAATAAATAAATCTTAAAAAAAAAAACTTCTTAGACTGAAAGAGCTGAACAGCTGACCTGGGTATAACAGATCAAATATGGGATGCCAGTAGGCAGTAGGGCAAGAAAGCCAAGGTGTAGCGGAAGAGGCACACTGGTGGTCTGTGAACTACTTCTAGTCTACAGCTAGGTCCTGTCTGCTAGAATGTTAAAAAAGATGGAAGTCTCATATTAAACTGGATTTTAAGCTTCTGTTGTAAAAGATCAAAAGATCTAACAAATACATGGGTCCAAACGTTCATATGCCATCAAAGTGTTGTTACACCATTTAGATGGAGCATGTGTTTTCTAGGTCATTGGTATCTCCAAGAAGGGGCTGTGATGGCCAGGAGATGGGGGTTTGAGGGGTGGGAACAAAGGAGTTCTTTTTTAAAAAATATTTTATTATTTATTTCTTTCAGAGGTAGAGTTACAGAAAGGGAGGGGGAAAGACGGAGAAAAAGGTCTTCCATCTGCTGGTTCACTCCCCAAATGACTGCACTGGCTGGGGCTGGGCTTATCTGAAGCCAGGAACCAGGAGCTTCTTCCAAGTCTCCCAGGTGGGTGCAGGGGCCCAGGCACTTACGGCTTTCCCAGGCCATAAGCAGAGAGCTGGATTGGAAGGGGAGTAGCTGGTGCATGAACTGGTGCCCATATGGGATGCTGGGTGATGCAGGTGTAGGCTTAGCTTACTACTTGGCAGTGGCTAGTCACCAATCAATTTGGAAGCATTTCATTGTTTTAATAACTGATGTGTCCATATCAATACATAGATTAAATGAGATAGTGAGGGAGATGGATTAGAGAAGATAGTAAGGAGACCCTTTTGGAAGAAAAGTAGAAAAAGTGAGGAGAATTAAAGGCAGAACATGAATAGTTTTCAATGTTAAGCCATGGAGGTTCTCCTGGCTATATTTTTAAGAGGAGCAGGGACAGGATAAGAGTACGTATGTAACTTACTGATCTTTATTCCAGATGCTGTGCATATTATCTCATTTATAGCAGGTAAAGCTGCCACCTATAGAGCCTGCATCCCACGTGGGCACTGGTTAGAGTCCTGGAGGCTCCACTTCTAATCTAGCTCCCTGCTTGGGCCCCTGCAATCATGTGGGAGAACTGGAAGCAGCTCCTGGCTCTAGGGCTTCAGAATGGCCTAGCCCCGGCCATTACAGCTCTCTGGGGAGTGAACCAGCAGATGGAAGATCTCGATCTCTCTCTTTCTACTTCTCTCTCTCTCTCTCTCTCTCTCCCACCCTCTTTGTCTGTAAATTCTGCCTTTCACATAAATAAATAAATCTTTAAAAAAAAAAACCTTCTGTAGGCCGGCGTCCCGGCTCACTAGGCTAATCCTCCACCTTGCGGCGCCGGCACACCGGGTTCTAGTCCTGGTAGGGGCGCCGGATTCTGTCCCGGTTGCCCCTCTCCCAGGCCAGCTCTCTGCTATGGCCCGGGAGTGCAGTGGAGGATGGCCCAGTCCTTGGGCCCTGCACCCCATGGGAGACCAGGAGAAGCACCTGGCTCCTGCCATCGGATCAGCGCGGTGTGCCGGCCGCAGCGCGCCAGCCGCGGTGGCCATTGGAGGGTGAACCAATGGCAAAGAAAGACCTTTCTCTCTGTCTCTCTCTCTCACTGTCCACTCTGCCTGTCAAAAAAACAAAAACAAAAACAAAAACCTTCTGTATAACATTGATGATGAAACAGCTATTAAATTGTTGAACTATAATTTAAATCCATGTTTGCTTAACTCCAAAGACTGCGTTAAATGGAATAAAATAACTCATTTGTCTTGAGAAATCTAATTAGTCATACACTCCCCAGCATCCTTTAACCAAGAGTTCATGTCAATGGGAAGACACTAGCCAATAGGAGCCTGTAGTAACCTTCTTAGTTATCTGTGCTGTTTTGGCTGGGGGACTTGGGGGCACTAGTATTGCTTTCATGATTATTTTTAGCTTAGCATCTTTCAGTGTTCTGCATGATCATAATACCCCTGAACACATTAGTTCAAAGAATCTCAGAACACTCTAGACCAAATGACATCTTTCTGAGTTTTACCAGATTTGAATCACTGGATCCTGGAATGAAATCACGTTTGTGCCTCCCTTGATCCTTCTTAGCAGGAGGTAATGTAATGAACTTATTAACTCTGTGCCCCCTAAATCCATTTTAGTTTAAACTCAGTTCCTAAAATACTCTAGATAAGTGCAAAGCCTATCAATTCTAGATGAAAGCCCTTCTGTAAGGCTTCCATCAAATTTATGTTTTCTGTGGGGGACGCTGAATCTGGAGAGGCCTAGAGAAAACATCCTGAGCCTGCCTCGAATTTGAAAACCTGACTTTAAGTTTCAAATCCCTGGTAGCAAACACCCCAGCCCCAGGGCGCTTCTGCCTAAGGATCATTAAGGTGGTATGATAGGAGTGGCTAAGACCCTTTTGCATCTCAACACCCCACCCCTTGCCCGCATCCGCTCATCCACTCTGTACCTCAGCTATATATTCACCTCTCTTTTACAATAAAGTGAGACGCTGCTTCGACTGGGCTCCACACCGCATCTGATTGTCCCCCGGGTTTGGGGAAGGCTGAGTGGCGGGTGGCGCACTTTCCCCTCCTCGGTCAAGGCAAGCTGCGGGCAGCCTGCCTAATTCTCTGGCGGTGGCGAGGAACAGTCACCGCAGTTTTCCACTTAAAAACATGTTTTTGAATTACTGCTAAAGTTAAAGCAGTGTAAACATGATAAATATTAATAATAAACAAGAACCAAGTCTCTCTTTGCCTTCAAGGAGACTGTAAGTGGGATTTGTTGCACAGAACATGGATATGGAGTTGAAGGGGTCCAGGGACTGTCACCTTAAAATATGGTGCCATAGCATGCTGATTGTATTAAATTAAAGGAACTTAGAGAGAGTAAAGTCTGGAAGAAGCTTTACTATGATATCTCCTTGTTTGCTTAAATTCTAGACCCTCCAAGGGAAAGAATAATTACCTTTGGGTCCTTTCAAGTTTTCATTTAACTAAATTCCTTTGTTAGCAAGAAAGGCTGAAGTCTGTCAATGCACTTGGACAGAATTCTGTCATACCATTGTCTCCTCTCTGGTTGCATCCAGTATCCCAAAGAGAATAATTTATAATCCATGTTTGTTCTGCAAGTCCAACAGACTTTGTCCTAGTCCTGACTTTAAGTTTCTCCAAGTCCACTAAATTCCCCTAAAATTTCATTATCATTCCTCTAAAAACTGTCCACATTCACCATTATCCCCTCACCTATGGAAAAAAGGCATACATAAGCTTCTTTTTTTAAAAAAGATTTACTTATTTATTTGAAAGGCAATGTCATAAAGGGGCAGAGGGAGGGAGGGAAGGAGGGAGGGAGGGAGGGAGGGAGGAAAAGAGAGAGAGAGAGAGATCCCCAGATGGCTGCAATGGTCAGAGCTGTGCCAATCCAAAGCTAGGAACCAGGAGTCTCCCAGGTCTCCCATGTGGGTGCAGGGGCCCAAGGACCCAAGCAGTGGGCCATCTCCCATTGCTTTCCCAGGCCATAGCTGATCCAGAGAGCTGGATCAGAAGTGGAGCAGCCAGGACTGGAACTGGTGCCCATATGGGATGCCCGCACTGCAGTCAACAGCTTTACCTGCTGTACCACAGTGCTGGCCCTGGCATATAAGCTTCTGAATCATGTCAAACTAGTGGGTAGTTATATCCCATGATTGCCTCTGTATCTGTAACAAATTTGTGAATCTTTCTCCAATTAATTTCTTCGTCAATTTATTCCAGTGAACTTTCAGAGGATGAAAGGAAGGCCTTCACCTCTACAGACTCCATATATAAGCAACTACAGTTCAAGGTAGAATGCAAGCATATTCTAATAAGGGTTGCTGGGTTTAGAAAAATGTATAGTACATCCATTTAAATTTGAATTTTAGATAAACAACAAATAACTTTTTAGTGTAATTATATTACAGACATTGCATAGGGCCTGTATTTTATTTGGAAATCAGTTTATAAAGAATTTCAATCCAAGTACTAAAGAAGAATACTATAATAGCTCTTCATTCAGATGAGGGGAGACTGGGGAAAACTTTTGGGAAATGGTGGTGTTTGCCTCAATCTTCAGGGTGTGGCCAACCCCATATTAATAAGCCATTTTGTTCCTGGAAGAGTATCATATTATCATACTCCTGGAAGTCCTACTAAATTAAAATATTCATGAGCTACCATTAAGAATGTTGAAAAGATTTTTGGTACTCATGAGTTATTTCCACAGATTGTTACAGAACTGAAAATGATGCATAAAATTGACATACCTAAATTTCATAAGGCAAAGCACTGCATAAATACATAATATTTTAAAAGGCTTCTTTAAAAGAAGAACAAGTAAGATATACTATGTATTTTAATTATAAAATGTAATGTATTACCTCTGATGTCATCCATATATCAGAACCATCATTTTCATCCAGTGTATCAGGCATAAAAGGGATCAAAGACACAAATCGAGCAATGAGGTCCTAGAATAATATTAGCATTTATTGAGTGTGTAATATATGTGCATTACTAAGTACAGTGCTTTACATGCATTATCTCATTTACCATACACTCCAAGCCTATAAAGTAGACATTATTATTATTCTAGTTTTACAAAGGAGAAAACAAGCATAGAGTGACAAAATTGCTTGTTGAGGGTTGCAGGCTAATACTATATGTGAGCCTGGGGACTGAGCCCACTTTGGCCTGATTCCAGAGATTCATGATCATTTATATTTAATCATTATATATTTTTAAACTTTTATTTAGTAAATATAAATTTCCAAAGTACAGCTTATGAATTACAATGGCTTTCTCCCCCCATAACTTCCCGCCCACCTGCAACCCTCGCAACTCCCGCTCCCTCTCCCATTCCATTCACATCAAGATTCATTTTCAATTACCTTTTTCTTTTTTGTTTGTTTTGACAGGCAGAGTGGACAGTGAGAGAGAGAGACAGAGAGAAAGGTCTTCCTTTGCTGTTGGTTCACCCTCCAATGGCCGCCGCGGCCGGCACGCTGTGGCCGGCGCACTGTGGCCGGCGCACTGTGGTCGACGCACCACGCTGATCCGATGGCAGGAGCCAGGTACTTATCCTGGTCTCCCATGGGGTGCAGGGCTCAATTACTTGGGCCATCCTCCACTGCACTCCCTGGCCACAGCAGAGAGCTGGCCTGGAAGAGGGGCAACCAGGACAGAATCCGGCGCCCCAACCAGGACTAGAACCGGGTGTGCCGGCGCCGCAAGGCAGAGGATTAGCCTAGTGAGCCGCGGCGCCAGCCTCAATTATCTTTATATACACAATATCAGTTTAGTATATATTAAGTAAAGATTTCAACAGTTTGCACCCACACAGAACATAAAGTGTAATATACTGTTTGAGTACTAGTTACAGCATTAATTCACGTTGAACAACACATTAAGGACAGAGATCCTACATGAGGAGTAAGTGCACAGTGACTCCTGCTGTTGACTTAACAAATTGACACTCTTGTTTATGGCATCAGTAATCTCCCTAGGCTCTTATCATGAGTTGCCAAGGCTATGGAAGCCTTTTGAGTTCGCGGACATCGATCTTATTTAGACAAGGTCATAGTCAAAGTGGAAGTTCACTCCTCCCTTCAGAGAAAGGTACCTCCTTCTTTGATGGCCCATTCTTTTACCATTTGGGGGGTGAACCAACAGAAAGGAAGACCTTTCTCTCCGTCTCTCTCTCTCTCACTGTCTAACTCTGCCAGTCAAAAAAAAAAGAAAAACTCTGCCATTCAAGTAATCATTATATTTTATTATAATACATTATTAAAATTATTAATACTTTAACCATTACAACAATATTAACATTAAACATGTATTTTAAAATGTTGAAAAACAGCAAAGTTTTGATTTGCTTTTAGGTTCAAAATCTTTCAAAATTTGTTTTTTATTGATATAAGCTTATTTTAAGTGGTCACAGCAGAAATAGTGCTTTCTCAAACAACTGTTTGACTTATATATTGTTGACTTTTTCACCAGAAAGTGCTAGAGACAAGGACTCAGACTATGGTAGGAAAGAAGAAAGAGATAGGAACAGTGAGTTAACACAGAAAGCTTGTTAACATTGTAATTGATGTACGACAGCTGCCATCTGTGCATTGTGACCTTCCACATTGGTGACCTCATAGAATTAATACACGTGTTCACAATCCTTGATAAGCAAAGGATGTAGGATTTATGTATGTTTTTAAAAATAAAATAATCTTTGAAAGAAATATGAAAGCATTATTGTCTCCTCGGACACTGACTGTCAAACAACAAAAGCAGGAAGAAACTCATGAGGGAAAAGCAGAGTATAGCAAAAGGCAGTCTAAAATAAGGTGTTTTTTTTTTTTTTTTTTTTGACAGGCAGAGTTAGACAGTGAGAGAGAGAGAGAGAGAGAGAGAGAGAGAAAGGTCTTCCTTCCATTGGTTCACTCCCGAAATGGCCACTACGCTGGCGTGCCACGCCAATCCAAGCCAGGTGCTTCCTCCTGGTCTCCCATGCCGGTGCAGGGCCCAAGCTCTTGGGCCATCCTCCACTGCCTTCCGGGCCACAGCAGAGAGCTGGCCTGGAAGAGGAGCAACCAGGACAGAATGCAGCGCCCCAACCAAGGCTAGAACCCAGTGTGCGGGCACTGCAGGCGGAGGATTAGCCTAGTGAGCCGTGGTGCTGGCCCAAAGTAAGACTTTTGATTTTAGGTTATAGATAAGGGAGGTTTATAACTCACAGATAATATAAATATTCTGAGGAAGCCAAACGACAAGATTGAAGAAATAGGGGCCGGAGCTGTGGCATAGCAGGTTAAAGCTGCAGCCTGCAGTGCAGGCAACCCATATGAGCTGGATTGGAAGTGGCTGTTGTGGCCTTTTGGGGAGTGAACCAGCAGAAGGAAGGCTTCTCTCTCTGTGTCTATACCTCTCTCTGTATCTCCGTCTTTCAAATAAATAAAATAAATCTTTTAAAAAAAGTTTGAAGAAACAGAAGGTAAGAGTGATTCTCCATAGCTGCTCTTTAATCCCAAGGAAGCTGTTAAAATAAACAGAACTCACAAGGGTTGTGTTAGAATCTTGAAGGAATATATCCAGAAGTTGCTGAGGTGGATTTAATGCCTTGATGTATCTTGTTACTAACATCTGTATCCCTTCATCATTAAGAACAGTAGTTATGATTCTTCTGTTGGGAAACACTGCCTTACAATTTCTTTCAAAAATCTGTGCTCTCTGCAAAACATCTATTTGATCTGAAAACTAGAATCAAATTTAAAGTACATAAATATTGTACCATATTGTTCCTATAAGAAAACATCAAGAACAAATGTTTATTTTTGCCAGCTTTGAAATTATTATGGTTTTTAAAATAGTTTACACATCCTTGATGGTATCTATAAAAATAATTCAGAGTAAAACCTACCTTATCTAGTTTTGGATTACAGGTGACATGTGATATTTGAGGTTCAATGGTAGCAAAAATATTTAAGAAGGTACATTCTTTTAAATTCTGTCCAATATAATCTTCTTTAGGAGATACATAAGTCTTACTCCAAGTATACCCAAGCAAAACTGGTGGGATATTTACTTGAAATGTCCCACTAATCTGAAATAACATATTAATGTAATAGATTATGCATAATGAAAATAAACATCAGTCAAATATATTATAACCCAGCTCAATTCTCTTCAAGGTAAGGAACAGGCATACATGGGTACATGTGTATCTATTAATAACTAGTAATAATAATAATAGATAATAATCCCTAAGCACATTGTGTTAGGCACTGTGTCAAGTGCTCAATATAGAGCCCAACACACAATGGAGTAGATACAGCCTTGTCTCTCTTTCACAGATAAAGAAACTGAGGCTCAGGGCATTGAAATAATGTGTTTAAGATTACAAACTAATGATTAATGGAGCTCCCACTGTGAAGCCCATATTTTTTTTAAAAAAATTTTAAATTTATTTTAAAGGCAGAGTGGCAAACAGAGGAAGCAAGACCTTCTATCCACTGATTTACTCCCCAATTGGCCACAACAGCCATGGATAGACCATGCCAAATCCAGGAACCAGGAACTCCATCCCACATGGGTATAAGGGATCCAAGTGCTTGGGGCCATCTTCTGCTGCTTTCCCAGGCACATTTGTAGGAAGCTGAATTAGAAGTAGAGTAGCTGACGCTTGAACTAGCACTCCAATATGGGATGCCAGCATTGCAAGTGGTGGCTTAACCTACTGCACCACAATGCCAGGCCCTAAGGTCCACGTTCTTGACTACCCCTGTATCTGGCTTGAGACTGAGAAATGTCTGCAGGGATTTATAAATGTGGAAAGCCTTGTACTTCAACAATTTAAGTTCCTGTTGCTCTTTATTTGCAACACTTAGATTTGCAATTTACTCCATCCTGACTTCTTGTGACTGCACATTATGAAGCATGTCTTCTCTCCTACCTAACACCCATTCTCTTCTCCTTTCTTATCAACAATCTTGTAACAAAGTTGGTCACACAACAACAGGTAGTGGCCGTGTCATATAAATGAAACTGAAACAGAAGTCTGTTGGAGTTTTCTGGGAACGGCCTCTTTTCCTGATACAGGGACTGTCCCTTTTTGTTTCTCCCTGTCAGCTGTTGCACATACATATGAGGCTGGACTGACAGTGAACATTTTGAAATTATGAAATGAAAATCACAAGATAGGGACAGTGGACGAGGAAAACAAAAGTAGCTTGGATTCTTGATGATGTCCTTGAGCTGACGCACTGGCATCTGATTTCATTTTAGGTGAAATAAATAGACCTCTTACCCATATTGGCCACTGTTAGTCAAGTTTTCTGATGTTGTATATGGCCTACTGCTGTCCTAACACACATGCACTCAGTCCTACTTACTCAAATCCCTAATCATCTTTAAGGACTTGATTCAAAAGCTACCGCCTCAGTAAAGTCGTCTGTGACTTTCATTACCCTTGTTCTTTTCTCATCCACTTTGAAACTCCATGTCCCATCCCCTCCTTTAATGCAGAAGAGTAAAGCACTCCCTACTGTATGTTCTGTCATAGTACCTATCTCATAACTCTACTAAAGCACATCAGCATTTTCACATTGTGCAGAAATGTTAGTTTTCTTCCACAGGCAGTGAACCTCGGAAATAGAAAATTCTTTTCTGAATCTTCAGGTCTTCAGTGTTAGCATAGCCTCAGAGGTATCAAGCACATGCCTAAGACCGCTCAGTAAGTAATAGAGCCTAAAATGGAGTCTAGCCTGGGGTTTTTATGCTTTGCTGACGATGTAGGCATTTTCTTGCCACATAACCCAACAGTATAGCCCTTAAGTGCCTGATATTGACTAGGTACGCATCATCAATCTCCCCATTGCCATAAGCAATGCTGACAAGATGAAACTTCTGGGGCTACAAAGCAACAACATTCATCAGAATATTTCATGAATCTGGTCTTTATGGAATTCTTATATATTTATATATATAAATATGCATTACATATAAATTTGCATTTTGTTTTATGAATTAAGGTTAGTTGTCCTATTCTTTATTCATGAACACTCTAAAAATAAAAAAAATTTGTGAATGTCCCCTATTCTAGAGAGAGCCACGACCTCCAAACACCCCCAAACCCCAGAATATTGTCTAGTGTGATATCATTTCAACTGACCTGCCTACCTGCCAATCACAGAATCTAATTCCAAGAAAACAGAAAGAGTTTCTATTAATCAGAGGTCAGAATTTAGAATAAGTAGCAAACAACCACATTCTATTACCTCAGATTGTTGCAGAAGAGCAGAGAAAGGGAAGATGATGGATCCAAGCCAATTCTTCTTTACATAGGAATGACTGCTACAGCTCTTGAGACAGTGGTCCTATTAAAATAAATAAATTTTTTATTACTTAATATCATGTGATGAATAGCTTCACAAACTCACAGGTAAGTATAAAAATCATTCTTTATTTTTAAAAAGAAACTAAAATATAAAGAGAGATTTCCCTTTTTAATTTCATTGAAAGATAACAGACTATTTAAAGCAAAAAATAATGTACAGTTGTGGAGCTTATGACATACATATAAGTAAAATGTAGGACAACACTAGCATAAAACCCAGGAAGGGGAAATGAATGTGTTGTAATAGCCTGTTCTTACCCTTTATGTGAAGTAGTATTATATAAAGGCAGACTGTGACAAATTAAATATTATAAATTTTAGAACAATGATTAAGAAAATAAGGAAGTAGAGCTAACAGTGGACATAAAATGGAATTATAATAGTATCTATCCAAAAGAAGGCAGAGCTTCAAAAGAGCACATGAGATAAGCAAGAAACAAATAGGAAGATGGAACTTAGCCAGTTCGATAATCAGACAAAATGTAAACAGACAAACATAAAAAGGCAGAGACCCAACTATGTGCTGCCTATAGTAAACCCATGTAAATACAAAGATGCAAGTTAAAATAAAGAAACAAAAAGATGTATCATATAACCACTAATTAAAAGAAAAGCTGGAGTGACTATATGAAGGGGCATTAAAAAGTTTGTTAAAAATGAGATTAAAAGACAATATGAAATTTCAGTGAACTTTTAAAATTCCCTATGTATTTATCAGAAAGTTAAAAGAAGAAATATGGGTAGACATTTAGTGTAGTGGTTGGAATGACTGCACCCCATATTGGAGTGCTTGGTTTGATCCTACTTCCACTTCTGATTCTAGCTTCCTGCTAACGCATATCCTGGGAGGCAGCAGGTGATGGCTCACGTATGTGGGTCCCTGCCACCCATGTGGGAGACCTGGATTGTGTTTCTTGCTCCCAGACAATTGCAGAGAGAATTGGTGGATAGGAAGTCTTTCTCTTTGTCCCTCAAATAAAATAATTAGCTAATTAATTAATTTTTAAAAACCCAAGAAATACAACCAAGAATAAAGAGGAATATTACATAGCAATAAAGGAATCAATTCATCAAGAATAAATACACCTCTATACATTTATGAACCTAATAACAGAATGGCAAAATACACAAGACAAAAACAGGGCTGAAAAATATGACACCAAAAGCAAATTGAGAAATCTGATTTCATCAAAAACTTTTTTTGACAGGCAGAGTTAGACAGTGAGAGAGAGAAAGAGAGACAGAGAGAAAGGTCTTCCTTCCGTTGGTTCACTTCCCAAGTGGCCGCCACGGCCAGGTGCTTCCTCCTGGTCTCCCATGCGGTCTCCCAAGCACTTGGGCCATCATCCACTGCTTTCCCAGGCCACATCAGAGAGCTGGACTGGAAGAGGAGCAACTGAGACTGAATCTGGCGCCCCAACCAGGACTAGAACCTGGGGTGCCGGCGCTGCAGGCGGAGGATTAGCCTAGTGAGCCGTGGCACCGGCCAGAAGTCTGATTTCATCAACATTTAAAACTTTGCTCTTCAAAAGACACTGACAAGAAAATGAAAAGACGGGGGATTCCAAGATGGCAGAATAGCGACAGGGAGGTATGCACTAGGATAGGTGAAAATAATAACCAAAAAAAGTGGAGAAAGTGCATTCTCAGGAAAGAGTTGGAGGGAAAACTGCAGTGGAGATTTTGCAGGAGGAGGAGAGATGCCATGGATCTGCATGGAAGGTGCAGATACACAGCAATGAGCACGGACACAACAAATGACTAGCATCCCGGAGCTGGAAAAAGTGCCAGCTTTGCAGAGCAGGCTTGATCAGAATGCAGTGGCCCCTACCACTGGTGATAGAACCTGAGGGAGAGAAATAGTGCAGTTCATGTGGAAGCATGGGTGAGTGCTGCACCCAATGAGGGCTAATACCCTGGCATTGATCACCTTGGAAAAGAGAAGGTGAGGGCGTGATTATGCCAACAGAGGTAACCATAATCCTTCTGTTAACAAAAGATCTACCATGCTCAACTTGGATATTAACCTGGACACCTGCCCTACCCTGGAGCACTGACCAGAACTCCCTGGCCACACCCAGCACACACCTCTGGGTATTCACAAAGATAAAAGCCATCAGAGGGAAAAACCAACAAGTATCTCCACAAATGTCTAAAAATAAATGCAGAAATTCAAGAAACTAGATTAAGGAAGACAATATGAACCATCCCCAAAAGAATACAACACTTCAATATTAGAATGTGAAGATGAAGAGATTGATGAAACACCTGAAACAGAATTCAAAAGATTAATCATAGGATTACTCAGAAGCAATGAGGAGCAAACCCACATATTAAAGAAATGCATACATGACGTGAATGAAAAATTTTCCCATGAAATTGAGATTTTAGAGAGAAATAAAAATGAATATTAGAAATGAAGAATTCAATAAGCCTAATAAAAAATACAGTAGAAAGCATTAACAACAGACGTGGTGAAGCAGAAGAATATCCAAGCTAGAGGACAAATCTTTGGAAATTTTTCAGTCAGACCAAAAAAAAAAAGAAAAGAAAAGAAAAGAAAGAGAGAGAGAGAGAGAAAAGAAGGAGGAGGAGGAGGAGGAGAGAACAAAGAAGAAAGAAGGAAGAAGAAGGAGAAGGAGAAATTATAAAAATTAAAAACACTGATGGAGATTTATGGGATACTATCAAACAACCCAACATATGGGTCTTAGGAATTTCTGAAGGTGTGGAAAGAGAGAATGGCTCAGAAGGCCTATTCATTCCCCAATTTGGAGAAAGAATGGGATGTCCAAGTACAGGAAGCACACAGAATTCCTAGTAGACATGACCAGAAAAGATCTTCACCGTGACATATTGCAGTCAAAACTTCCAAAGTAAAACATAAAGAAAAGCTTCTAAGATTGTATGAGAGAAACACCAGATTACTTTCAGAGGATCTCCAATTAGACCCATAGCTGACTTCTCATCAGAAACGCTATAGGCTAGGAGAGAATGGAGAGACATAGTCCAAGTCTTAATAGAAAGAAAAAAAAACTGTCAACACAGAATACTGTTCCCTGTAAAGCTCTCATTTATGAATGAAAGTGAAATAAATACCTTCCATAACTAACAGAAATTGAAAGAATTTGTCACCACTTGTCCAGTCTTACAAGAGATGCTTAAGGATATACTACACACAGAAACACAGAAAGACAATCATCACTATGGAAGAATGTATAGGAAGACAATCTTCCAATAAAAGTACAAAGGAAATCCAAAGTAAACAATAGGAACATTAATGAAAAATGGCAGAGCTGGCTGGCACTGTGGCTCACTAGGCTAATCCTCCGCCTGCAGTGCCAGCACCCCGTGTTCTAGTCCTGGTTGCTCCTCTTCCAGTCCAGCTCTCTGTTGTGGCCCAGGAGGGCAGTGGGGGATGGCCCAAGTGCTTGGGTCCCTGCACCCATATGGGAGACCAAGAGGAAGTACCCGGCTCCTGGCTTTGGATCGGTGCAGCACCGGCCATGGCAGCCATTAGGGGAGTAAACCAACAGAAGGAAGACCTTTCTCTCTGTCTCTCTCTCACTGTCTATAACTCTGTCTCTCTAACTCTGCCTGTCAAAAAATTAAGAAAAAGAAAAATGACAGGGCCAAGTTGTTACTTATCAATAATCACCTTGAAAGTAAATGGCCTAAACTCTCCAGTTAAAAGATACAGAGAGGGGGTAGTGTCAGCATTCCATATGGGCACTGGTTTAAGACCCAGCTGCTCCACTTCCAATACAGCTCTCTGCTATGGCCTGGGAAAGCAGCAGAAGATGGCCCAAGTCCTTGGGCCCCTGTACCTGCATGAGAAAACTCAGGGAAGCTCCTGGCTTCTGGCTTCAGATTGGCGCAGCTCCAGCTGTTGCAGCTAATTGGGGAGTGAACCAGTGGATGGAAGACCTCTCTCTCTCTGTCTCTCTCTCTGCCTCTTCTTATCTCTCTGTGTAACTCTGACTTTCAAATAAATAAATAAATATTTTTTTAAAAAAAGATACAGACAGGCTAATTGGATTAAACCACAAAATCCATTTATTTGCTGCCTAAAGAAACACACCTCACCAACAAAGATACAAACAGACTGAAAGGGAAAGGATGGAAAATGATATTCCATGCTAACAGAAAGCAAAAGAGAGCAGGTGTAGCCATCCTAATATCAGAAAAAATAGACTTTAACATAAAACTGTTAAAAGAGACAAAGAAGGGCACTATGTAATGATTAAGGGATCAATTCAACAGGAAGATGTGATGATAATAAACGTATATACACCCAATTACAGAGTGCCTGGCTATTTAATTTAATGGATCTAAAGGGAGACACAGACTCTAATACAATAGTAATAGGAGACTTCAACTCCCCACTTTTATCAATGGACAGAAAATCAACAAAGAAACAATAAAGCTAATTAACACTATGTACCAAATGAACCTGATATCTACAGAACTCTTCATCCCACACTTGCAGAATACTCATTCTTCTCATCTGTGCATAAAATTTTGTCTAGGATAGACATATGCTAGGCCATAAAGCAAGTCTCAGCAACTTCAAAAAATCAAAATCATACCATGCATCTTCTCTGACAACAATGGAATAAAGCTGGAAATCAACAACTCAAGAATCTTTAGAATATATGCAAAAACATGGAGATTTAACAACATGCTCCTGAATGAACAGGGGGCATAGAAGAAATCAAAAAAGAAATAAAAAAATTTCTGGAAACAAATGAAGACAACAATACAACATATCCAAACTTATGGGACACACCCAAAGAACTGTTAAGAGGGAAACTTATAGCAATTGGTACCTATATCAAGAGATTTGAAAAGTAACAAGTAAATGAGCTATCAATGCATCTCAAAAATCTAGAAAAACAACAACAAAATTAGTAGGAGGAAAGAACAAATTAAAATTAAAGAAGAAATAAACAAAATTCAAACAAAAAATACAAAAGACCA